TTTAAAATCGAAACTCCAAAACCCTAAACCGCAACAACCCAACCCCTCAATCCAAACCCTGAAACCCCAACAGCCCTTAACCTTGACGCATTGCCCAAATTCGTATATGATAGGATTTTCACATTTATTCTCAGGTTCGGTGAGATAAGCGTGAAGTATCTTGACATAAAATCCAAAACATGTGCGCTGTTTTAGATAGCAGTCCGTAACATAGAAGCGTGAATACATGTGTTTAGACTCTATTCCTTGGGGCGTCTGCGTACAACGGTTGAGCAATGAAATATAAGACAATGTCATATCATAAAAATACACTATATTATCAATTTATCCCAAGACCCTATTCTGATTAAAGCCACCCCCCCTTCCCCACCCCCAAAAAAAAAGTGCATTCCGAACCTGGCCATAACTCTCGGGGCCGCCACCTGATTTCCTGACCCAGACCCCTGGGCCCTGCACGATATAGAAAGTTCAAGAATGCAGCACCCCTGATTTTGGACCCTATACCCTTTACTACGAAAGGGCACTTTATACGAATTTCCTTTGAGGGATTTACCTTTTGGATCCTCTCCCAGGAGACTAGGTAATCTGGGGGTCTGCATAGGCTAGATTATCATAGTCTTGCAGTTTTGATTCATGAGTTGGGTAGTTCTCCAAATTAGGGGTCCCTTTTCGTACTCTACTGGGGACCGAAAAAGGGCCCTCATCCTAAACCCTTAACCCTAAACCCTAAGCCCTGAACCCTAAGCCGAAAAGCCAAAGCCGTTCAGTACGTGAGCCCTTTCCTTTCAGGCCAATGTCCAAAGTCCCTACCATCAACGTGCCGCCGATGGTGACCATGGTTCCCAGCTTGGCTTTCCTCAAGATTTAGGGTTCAAGGTTTGGGATTTAGGGTTTGGGGTTTAGGGTTCAGGGTTGAAGGTTTGGGCTTCATGTGCCGGGGCTTACGGCTTTTCCCGCCTCATCCCTTAACTTGCTTTTTGAAACAGCGACCGTGACTAGCATCGTCGTCGTGGTCATCCTCTTCGGCTACAGTCTAAGGATCAGCATCGCCAGCATCGCAAACGCCATCGTCATCTTCGTCATAAGCAAATCGCCAAAGTAATCACCAACATGGAGCACCATCATAACTACTGTAGGCACGCCGCCATCTTCCATCTCACTCACCATGATCACCAGCAACCACCTCAGTTGAGCCGGAAGTGATCTTTGTCGTGGTGGTCACCTTTGCAGCAGTACTAATATTCGTAGTAGTAGAGCAGTCATCGTCGTTGTGGTCCTATTTGTCGTGTTGTCGGGGCGGTCGGGGTTTCAGTCTCGCTGTCGGAACCTTCGTTTAATGGTGTGGCAGCATCGATAATGATGATGTTGTTGATGTTGTTTTTGCTGTTGTTGATGAAGATGATGATGATGATGATGACTATGACGGTTACGGTGATGGTTATTATGATGACGATGGCGTTGATGTTACTGATGAAGATGAAGAAGATGATAATGAGTGTCAGGTGGACGGTGGCCGTCACGAGAATGACAATGATGCCGGTTGTGTCAAAAGTGCCATTGACTGTTTTTGCTGCTGAACGCTTTCACACCCTGGTGGCTGTGTCGTACTCCGGTGTATCTTCGTGAGCATTTGGCTTGCAACCTCAGAGAGGAGATCTTGGCAACGCAACCCGAGTTTAGCTTTCAAGGCACCTTCCGGGCAATGGCAGGAGAGGCCGCAACGATGCTGGTCACTTTGTCATAGTTGGGTAGCATTTTACATGTTTTGGTTACTAAATCCTAATAAGGGATAAAAAATGTACATTCTTAATATTACCCTAAGGGTCCATGTACCTAAAACAGTATATACATTGGCCTTACACTTTCCCCTATATAGGTACATTGGGGCCAAAGTATATACTATTTGGGTACATGGACTCTTAGGGTTCTCCCAACCATGAACTAGGTCACCCTCTCCCACTTACCCACGACGTCCTTCGACTCTCTCGGGGTGGAGAAGCGGCCCGATAGCCTCGACACCTCTTCCGGCGACAGTGAAGTTGGAGGTTCATGGGTAGTTATAAGTGGGGGTATAAGTTTAAGGGGTTTAGGGTTCCTTTAAAGGGATCTATAGGGTTTAGGGTTTAGGGTAGTTATAAGTAGGGTTATAAGTAGGGTAACTATACTCATAACCCCTTGAGGGGACTTATAATCTCACAGGATCCTCCACCCAGAGCCCTGAAGCCCATAGCCCTATGCCCGAAATACTCTGAACCAGAAGCCCTCAACCCTATACTAGACCTGAAGGAATCTACGACAGTGAAGGACCTGCAAGCCCCAAAAAGTCCGAAGCGCTACGCCCCAAGCTCTCTGAAGCTCGAACCTCCAAGCCCCGAACTCCAGAGCCCTAAGACGTCAAGCCTAAATGGGAGTTTCCGAAAATGGGGGTACCTTATTGTGGGGTCCTTAGAATAAAGATCCTGATATTCAGGGTGCTATATTAGGGTCCCCTATTTCGGAAACTCCCAAAGTAATTCCTACCGAAGGAATCTACATCCCCGCAGACACTGCTCGGGGCTCCACTCCGCTCGACTGGAAAGCATGGGGCACAGCGCTGAAAAAGGCTCCCCGCCTCATGAAAGCGGGTTGAGGGTATAGGGTTCAGGGCTTTGTGTACCACAAGGCGAAACACTTTTGTCATGATATCGTAGTAATGTAATGAGTCGTAATTAGTTTTCCGGCAGCTTCTAGAGAGTGTTTCTGCGACCTACAAGTGTCAACGGCATGCCAACATACCAACTGTTCTTATAACGCTGGCAAAATCCAATAATATAGGGGCTTCCATAATTACCTATACTATTTATTTTCGGGGTTCCTAATTATGATTTATAGTCAGTTTTTGTATTAAACTGACCAAAAACCCTATTCAAATTATTGAGGCCCCTATATTATGGTTGGGGGGTGTTGAGTGTCGAGAATAGGTCTTACGGGTGATTTTTGGGTTAGGGTTCATGAGTCGGCAATTACTGCTCTGTGCTTCGAGCAGCCATTCGGGAGTGACAAGCACATTTCCAGAAAGCAGAAATCCCAAACAGTAACTACCGTGCAAGCCGTACAAGGCACTATCTATCTAGCTATCAATCTAGCTATGTCTTGCAGGTTTGGGGAGCATCCGACTGGCACTTCGGTGGTCGCGGGAGCTTGGGCATTGTGATCACGACCCCCAAACCGACGCACAGTGGCGCTGAATGCGACTTCGGGGTTTAGGGCCGCTGCCAGACACCTGGAACTCTTTGGGACACCGGTGATGCTGGATGTGTCAAACTTTTATGTTCCAGCGTGGGGGTCCTTACAATAAGGCCGCCATGCAATACACCGTCAAGATGGAATGCCCATGTTTGGGAAAATTCATATGTACAGCTTCCCTACACCCTGAGTCCCTAAACCCTAAACCCTAAAGCCTAGACCCGAAAGCCAAGAGCATGTACTGCTTCGAGCCTGTAAAGCTGCCTCCGAAGCTTTTATTGACCTGCGCGTCTGAATTTGGAACTTCGATTTTGAATGAACTTCGGCCGTGATCGTTGAAACGTGAGCCGGCTTCCCAGAGAGCCCATTACTGTGGAATATAGAAGCCTGAGCATTACTCCTTCAGTTTAGTACAATACTAAGTACATGGCATAATACACAGCCCCCAGAATTCAACTCAAATTGCTTCTAAGGCTCCTATATTAAATAAGCCGGTATTGGGTTCCTGGCTTTTGTGTACGGCTGAATGAAACAGCTTTGTGTACAGACAGACCTTGTATGCTTCACTTGCACGGCTGGAAGGATTCGACCAATCTCTACGCCAAGAATGGCAATGCTGAGAGCAGCCCTGACGGTTTCCAAGATGACTGTCCTCAGCATCGTCCTCGTCGTCATCATCGTCAGTATCAGGATCAGAGAGCATCACCACTCCCACCAGCATCAGCGTCATCATCACTATCATCACCATCATCGTCACCAAGACCAATAATACCTTCAGAGAATAACCATCTGCACCAGCAGCAGGAGCAATGTACCATCCTCATGGCTGGACTAGTCGTAGTTTCCGTCGTAGCAGTGGCAGTGGAAGTGGTGGCAGTCGTCGTCGCAGCCGATGTGGTAGTAGTACGGGTAGTGGTAGTTGTAGGGCGGATCCGGGAAAAATGTTGGAAAAGCATGGCAGGGCCAATAGTTGCGCATGTTAGCATGCTTTAACATGGCATTAGCGTTATGATGATGTTCGGAGCAACAAAAAGATGCGAACGAAAGCCCTATGTCTCTGTGCGGACGTATTTGTTGATTTTCACAGGGAGCTGCAACGGTAGCACGCGCTGGAGGCTTGAGGCCCGATTCTTCACAATGTGTTCTTTAACCCCGCGAGCAGAAAGTCCGTTTGACTGTGCAGCTGCATGGACGTTATCGAGTTTTGGGCATGGATGCACTTGCCAATGGATGGGTTGGTGGCATGGACGTTATCATGGTCTGGACATGGATGCAGTGGCCGATGAATGGGTTGGTAGCATAGACGTTATCGTGGTTGGGGCATGGATGGCAAGCCAAAGTCGGAACGATGCAGGCCTCAGCGACGGTAGCGGCAGGAGTAGCGGTGGCGGTGGCGGTAGCAGTAGCAGCGGTAGTGGCCGTAGCGGCCGCAATAGCCCCAATCAGCCGGCAGTGGGGTCCGTCGTCGCCATCCTCGTCCTCCTCGTCCTCGTCCTCGTGCTTGCGGCTGGTTTTGGTGGTAGTAGCCTCGTCGTCATCAGTTCAGTGCTGCTGCTGCTGCTGCTGCTGATGAAGCTGACAGTCATGAGTGTCAGGCGGATGATGGTCATGTCGACAATGATATGCCGGTGATGATATTAGGTTTTTGCTGATTGCTTTTTCGTCGTGGCTGCTGTCGCACTTCATTGTATCTTCGCGAGCGTTTTGCTTGCATCTTCAGGGAGAAGACCCTGGCAACACAACCCGAGTGTAGCTTTCAAAGCTCCTTCCTAGCAATGGCAGCCTTCTGGGCAATGGTAGGAGAGGCCGCGATGATGCAGCGCTGCCAAGACGACTGCGTGAAGTGCTGCGGTTCATCTCTTGAGATGGAGAAGAGGCTCGATGGCCTCGATACCTCTGCCAGCGACATTGAAGGACCTTCAACCCAGAGCCCTAAACCCCAAAACCCTATGCCCGAAATACTCGGAACCAGGAGCTCTCAACCCTATACTAAACCTGAAGGAATCTACATCGTGACAAACAGCGATCGGGGCTCCATTCTTCTGGACTGGAAAGCATGGGCCACAGCGCTGGAAAAGGCTCCCGGACTACTGGACAATAAGCAATCACACAGACGCACAGTGATGCACATCACGCATTTTCCATGATCGTTATACGGCAAAAACTCAAGAAGCTAGTTCCATGAAGTGTTTCACCGATGCACATGCAAGCATATGCACGCGTGGAGCTCCGAAACCACTATCATGATATCATGCGAACAGCCACAAGCCTGCAACACTTGATGACAATGTAGCCGTATCTCACCTTGAAACACCAATCAGCACATGGCAACAGACCATGCAATCACTGCAAAATTTCGAAATGTTCCAGCCGTCTGTGTGTGTGTGTGTGTGTGTGTGTGTGTGTGTGTATGCGTACTGTCACACATGCATGCATGCTTGCTTGCATGCAGGAACTTGCCTGTTCACGATATGACCTGACATGCCTACCCCTCCTACTCAGCTCCGTTTCATGTTGTACTGCACCATAATCATAAGCCCTGAGGCAGCCTCTTCCATGCCCTTCAGGTTTGGGGAGCATCCGACTGGCACTTCGGTGGTCGCGGGAGCTTGGGCATTGTGATCACGACCCCCAAATCGACGCACAGTGGCGCTGAATGTGACTTCGGGGTTTAAGGTTGTTGCTGTAGGGATTCCTCCCAGACACCTGGAACTCTTTGGGACACCGGTGAGGCAAGACCTGTGTCCTGGATATTTCAGAATTTTGAGTTACAATGTGCCGTCCTTACAAAAGGGGTGCCATGCAGTGCATTGGCGAGAAGTGAAGATGGAATCCTAGTGTTTGGAATACTTTCCATGTACAGCTTCCGTCATGTAAAGGCTCGTCCGAAGCTTTTGTTGACCTACGTGTCTGAATTTGGAACCTCGGCCGTGAGTGAATATCGGCCGTCCAGCATTAAAGCGTGAGCTGACTTCCCCATCGGAAAGCCCACTCAACCATGGACCTCAAGATCAAACAGGGGATTAGGGTTTAGGGTTTGGGGTTTAGGGGATTCCTCAAAATATAAGGGAACGTCTTTGATCCGCGTGCAACGGTCTCCCTGGTTTTTCGTGCACGGCTGAGTAAAACAGCTGTATGTACAGACGACCTGTCAGGCTTCGCTGTCAGCTGTGCAGTTAGAAAGATGGGCCCTGATTTATAGCCCTCCCCCTTTGTGGGATTTAGGATTTAGGGTTTAGGGTTAATGTAACGAGGATCCTAATCGCATGCGCTTAAGGAGGTGTTTATGCTTTAGGCGGTTCGCATGAAGGGAAACTCCGATTCTGCTGTGTCTCACATGTCGGGCCGTGGGAAAGGGGGCCTTCATAGTCAGAATCTGGTCCTGAGCATATTCTGGGATAATGATACTAAGAAACCATGAGGAATAATATAGACAATTTATTTAGAATCAAAGTAATGAAACCACAAGATCTGTTTCTTGCGACGTTCAGGCTTCATAATTCGAATAGCCCTGTCACCCTCCGCCGATGTTAAGTCCCCGACGTCGGTGTGGCGATCTGAAATGGATGCAGGAATGTATGGCCTGCAGCTTCCCGTGAATCTTCTTGTTTCAAGTTTTTGCCTCCATGAATGTAACGTGTTTAAGAGCATTTCACGGGTTTACCCATAGGCTCCAACTAGTTCCTTGTTGGGAGTACCCTATAGGACCCTAGATATGAACCCCAAAAAGGAACTATATACTATGTTTGCAGTGCTTTAGCGCCCAAAAGCCTTTAGCGCCCTGAGAATTCGAGTCTTAAACACCAACCCTAAACCCCAAAGCCTAAACGTCCCCACCCTGAACTTCCAACACTAAGCCCCAAACCCTTCCTCAACTCGCCTGAACCCCGAGCCTTCATGTTAACCGGCTTAAACACCGTTCACGAAAAGCCCTTCAACACCGTAAGCAAAAGCAACTGCATCTACCCCAAGCCGCAGAGGTGCAGCAATCTCAGCCGACCCCAGCACAGAACACACCGACTTCGATGTCGAGGCCGAGACATTCGGTGTGCCGCCTTCCGGATGTTGTATAAGGCGAAGAGCATTGTAAGGTCTCCATACGGGTGCCTTCTGGCTTCTAGAAAGGTTCTATACAGGTTCTTGACGGTACAAATCATACAGCCGATGGGCAATGTGCTCCATTTTCCAGTGCAAGGAATACGTCGTAGTTCCTACAGCTTAGCATACTCAACTGCATGTTTAAACTGATGTTGGAGCTTACGGAAATAGGGGGCACTGTTGCACAAACCCAAAACAACAGTATTCTCCTCATTCTTGGGACCTGAATTTCGACGAAGCAGTTTCAGGGTTCAAAACCCTAAACCCTAAACCTTAAACCCTAAGCAGGTTGGGGGGTGTTTAGCACGCTCTCTGCGGCTCCTGAGCTTTTCTTTGGTCTGTCCTGCAGGGGTCGCTTGTTGAACGTGGTGGGGAGGAGCCACGGTTTTGGATTTAGGGGGCATCTAGGGCTTACTAGGATGCCCGGTAGTACCCTTATCCCCTTTTTGTAGTCCTAGGTTCCTTATAAAAGTTACCCAATACCAAAAACGGAGCCCCTTTGTATTCCTAGCTTACTGGGCATCCTAGTTTGTTTAGGGTTTTAGAGTTTAGGGTTATGGGTTGAGGGTTCAGGGTGGTAGGGTTTAGGTTTCTGAAGCCCAGAGATCAGAAATTTGGCTGCTTTGGGGCTTTCGATGTTCGGGTGTTGGATTGCTCTGGGCTTTCAGGGGGTTAGCAATCCTAGTATCGATTGTTATCAAGGCGCCTACATTAATAAAGCCTTATGTAAAACCTACTGAACCGGACAAAACTCTATCAGAAGAGCTGTTCTGATTTTAAGGCCCGTGTATGCTGAATGCTTACTGCTCGTTGGGGCCTTGAGGCTAAGCATAAACTCTAACCCCCAGGTCCCAACATTCTATATTCCTGTCTCTGCTTGGAGGTTCATGGGGTAGTTATAGGTGGGGTTATAAGCAGGGTAGCTTTACTAAACTTATATCCTGTAACAACTAAACTTATACCCCGTATCTACTCATGAACCTCCAAGTGACCTCTAAGTTCGGAGTCCCTACCCCTACCGAGCCTTTCTTTAAGCCTTCTGGCATAAATCCGTCCTAGCGGTTGATATACATCCTGCATTACTTTAAGGACCCTAAACTATGGGAATTATGGTATATTCTTCATGTTGAGTCATGCAGGATTTATATCATCAACCGTAAGCCCCTAAACCTTCCTGGCAGGTCTCACACGTGCCAAAGCCCCTTGTCACGGTCGAGAGCTTGTGGCATCGGGAGGCCAACCCCGAAAGCATAAAGCCTACTTGGAGGTTCATGGGTAGTTTTTAAGTGGGGTTATAAGTAGGGTAATCATACTTATAACCCGTACAAGTTTAGTATAAGGGGCTTCATAATAACTCCACTCGTAGCTACCCATGAACCTCCAAGTACGTAACTTCGGTGTCGGCATTGTTGGGGTTGTCGGGTGTACTATAGTCTCCTTAGGATTCTTGTATTTTTGTTCATATAAGACCTAAGAGAATACATCAGCACATTATTTATGTTATGGTTCTAAGGGGGTATAGTGTAGGGCAGCAGTGCTGGGCATCTTTGGTTGCGGGTCAGGTCAAGCCCGAGACCCTGAATTTATCAAAGCTGAGCTCTCCCGAGCCCTCAGTCTTTAGGGTTGAGGGATTAGGGCTTGGGGTTTAGGGTTTAGGGTGCCCTCAGTGTGTAGTGTAGATAGGGGCCGGATTAGATAGTAGTCATACCCATGTGTAAAAGTATACTTCCGCCTAGTTTGGATTATTAGGGGGAGTTTTGGATGCCCTGATGTCACACCGAGTCGAACTGTCATGCTGTTGCAGATGGTTGTAAGGCTTTCCGCGCATTGATATGAAGTTTGAGCAAGATCCTAGCATTCTTCAGCTTTTGCACACAGCTCTTAGGGATCTTACGATGTAGGGGTCGGGCAGTAAGCAGCCCTTATAGTCCACAATAGCCCTAAACCCTGATCGTAGCCCTCATGAAGGCACCCTTTGAACGAATCTAGTTCAAACTACTCAGGCGGCTTAGGGAGCTCTGTGTTGCGAAGCTTTGCGCTCAATTAGCTTGGGTTCTGGGAGTTTAGGTTCGGTTTGGGGTTTAGGGTGTTAGGGTTTAGGGTTCGGTATGGGGTTTAGGGTTTGGGGTTTGGGGCTTCGGTTTCGGGGTTTAGGGTTTAGGTTCGATTGGCGCTGAGGCTAAGAGGAGGTAGATCCTCGGGCCCGTAGAGACCACCATGAGTTTTAGACGTTGAGGGCTTGGAGTTCATTGTTGGAGTGTAGGGTACAGTAACTCAGTATGGGGTTTAGGGTTTAGAGTCTGTTCGTTGGGAGTGTAGGGTACAGTATAGGGTTCAGGGTTTAGAGTTTGTTTGGAGTTTATTGTTTGCAGGTTAGGGTACAGCATTTATTTAGGGTTCGGCATTGAACTGAACTCGTGCACAGAATCCCGAAAGGAGCTTGGTAGAAAGCCGGTTATAGACCCCTGGCAGGAACCTTTAGAGGAGCTGTGTCTCGAAACCCCTCAACCCTAAACCCAAAGTCTAAGACGAAGCCTATAGAGGAAACCTTACCTAATCCAGAAGCCCAAGTCTTTGTCATAGTTGGGTAACATTTTACATTTTTTGGGTACTTAAACCCAATAAGGTATAAAAGTGTACATTTTTAATCCTCTCCCAACCATGAACTAGAAGTTTAGCTAAAGCAGCAGCCCTGATCTGCCCCAACTCTAAACCCTCATATGGGAGTTTCCGAAAATTAAGGGTACCTTATTTTGGGGTCCTTATAATAAGGATCCTACTATTTAGGGTACTATACCAAGGTCCCCTATTTTCGGAAACTCCCATATCGCAGCCTTCATGCGTCTTCAACCCTTATCCTCCAAGAGAAGCCCTCCACCGGAAGCCTTAAACCCCCAATTCCCGCAAGAGAAGCCCAGCTTAGCTAGCTGCTAGCTGCCGGGTTTAGGGTTTAGGGTTAAGGGTTTTGTGACGAGAAGCCTTTGCTTCGGGGCTAATGCAAATGACGTCGTTGTACTGCCACAGAACGAGTAGTCCTGCTTCCTTCAAGGATGGGTCGTACTTCTCGTGGACGGCCAAGAAGAAGCAGTCCACATGGCAACCGAAACAAGACCCGAGACCCGAGCCACTTGCGAGGCCACGCCTCTTGCAGGCATTCCTGAGCGGCTACCATGCAGCAAGTTGGTTGTGAGAAGCAAAATGACGAGCACACTCTCTTTCACCGCCACGCCGCCAGCTCCTGTCACCGCAAATAGCGCGCAGCAGTGGTTGGACAAGTTTCTGCAAGACATGGACGAAACTCCGATGCTGGTGACGTGCGACCCTCCCATGACTGAGTTACTGACTTTCAAGGTGCCTTGACTTGCCCCACGTTCAGTTGCAGCGTGTCTGCGGCATTCTGCCTTTAGCTGACCGGCTGCGGATGTGTCCTAGACACTACTTCTAACGTGAGACAGGTCTCGTGGTTGGTCTCGAGCCATGTTGATCCTGCGCGGGGTCGCGAGTGTCTGCACGTGACCAATCGTAACGACTTGTCCCTGTGTTGCTCCACACTCGCCTTCTTCGTATCAACATTGCC